TGCCGTAGAACTCGAGGATGGGACTTGGTAAAAATTGAGAACAGAAATGAAGATCAAGCGCTTAAAACCTTTCTCGCCGGAGAGTGCAGTAAGCAAACTGTCATCATCTTCAAGATTTTAAAGAATGAGACACTTCTTTGATTAATTGATGAGTTTTCTCTAAATTAATGATGATGATTAAATTATTTAAAATGTAATACATGTACATCTAATTGTTTTTCTGTACTATGAATTATAAAGTTCTGAAAACCATGGAAATATTTCCGGAATATAAAATATAAATATCCTTTTTGACACATCACTCATTAATATCATGTAAAAAATAGTATGTTTTTTTATCAATAGGACAAGTATCATGTGCAGATCCTCAGAATAATAAAGACGCACAAAAACTTTAACTAATGTGATATGCTTGTTTTAAACAGATAGCGGCGGCGATGGCTGGTTTATTGGTGGGCAATCCGAAAATGGCGCCTGGACTTGGGCAGATGGTTCTGAAATGATATATAATAACTTTCCAATCGAAAGAACATCAAGTATCGGGATCCCTCAAACCGTGGTGAGAAACTTTGCTGTCATTTTCAAAAGTGATTTGCAGTGGGGCTATGTGGCTCCTCGGCCGACTCCACGGATGGGGTACATCTGTGAAAGAACAACATGTTAAGCATGATTTCGTTAAATAAAATTAAAAAAAAAATAAATACTTTTTTGTAATTAATTTTAAAAAAAATTAATGCATTAAAAATTTTGAAAACAGTCATGAAGGATATTTCAAAGTGGGACATAAAACGGGTGAGACCGAATAAACCAATGTCCTTTGTTGCAGTGGACGCTGGTCCGAAAATGATCCTTCACTGCTCAATGGCCATAACATAGACATTACAGGTAAAATGTAGCCCTCCATCGGGAATAAATGACACACGTCCAAACATGAGTGAAAAAGTCTCCAAGTGACGTACGTGTAAAACAAACAAACATATTCGAAGTCACTTGCAACAATGGAGACTTTTAGTAAAAGAAATACTTATAAACTGGGTATTTACTATGATCTTCATTAAAACTTTTGACATGTTCAATGTACAAAAACTGTTGCATTCATTGTATAATTTTCAGAGGATGAAACTGCGTCCTTCAGTCAACTGAATAGTCACTGAAAAGTTTGGAAAGGTGACTAAATGGCAGAGCTCTGCTTTTCAGTCATCTTTTAATGAACTTTCAGTCACCTTTCAGTTAACTGAATGGCAGAGGTTTATCCTGTAAATTTGTAATGGAATACCACTGTAGGATTTTAACAGAGAAATTACTTATCATAATTTGAACTCTACTATGACCTTTACAGGAATATGTTCTCCTTCCTTTTGAAAAAAAAAAACATATTCCTTAGATACTTACAAAACGTTGTTTTATTTAACTTCATATAGTGGGATAAAAAGAAGGAATAGCATGGTTCATAAACTGTTTTATAATCATGTTTTGACTTCTGGTGTTTCCAGGGGTCTTTGTTTTTGCCCTGTTTACAATTTGTATTGTTTAAAGGATTTACAATCACTGTCCGTCATCTTAGAAATATGATTCCTCGACCCTAAAAGCTAAACTAAAAAATTGAATTTAACTGAAATGTTTATTCAATCATTTATTCATAAGTGTTTAATTCAACAATACCTTAGATTCGTAGCTTTCAAGAGGACGTCTTTACTGCTTGCAGTCATGAAATGGCTGGGACATATAGTGTAACCCCTTTCCATCCGTCATTCTGTCATTCCGTTGTCATTCGGTCATAGAAAGTTTCCCGGACTTTTTTGCTATGCTTGTAGATAATGAACTGAGTTTTGGTATGTTACTTGATATTGATGACATACAGATCATGATCAAGTTTTTTGTTGATTGGCCCACTTATACAAAAGTTATGGCCCTTAGACTTTAATATTATCCAATATTTGATTGCTTTCTGGACATTTTTTGCTCTGCTTAATATAGAAAACGAGCTAATATGCCGTATATCCCTTGATTATGATTACCTTCCAATCGAGTTCGAGTTTCACGATGATTGACGTATTTTTACGAAGATTATTGCCCTTAGACCTTAAAAATTCCTAATTATTCACTGTTTTCGGTATATCTTTGGCTATACTTGTAGATAATGATCTTTGGTTAGTCTCTGTGTATTGATGACTTATAGGTCCTTTAAATTTCTTATTTTCACTGTTATTGGAACCTTTTTTTTATATTAATTTGCATGTAAGAGAACTCAGTTTTATGCAGTTAATGTTGTGGTACAGCAGCACTATGATATAATTTTATTTTTGTGTCATTTCCATCATTTCCATTCATTGTTATATTTTCACGTTCTTGTACATTAACATACTTGCATGTTAGCGGGGCATTTATGTCACCCCGAAACATCAAGTTTTACTATTTTTTCAACTACTAATCCACACCTTTGTACTGGAGTTGGTAAACATTATGAACATTACAATTACGACTTCCATACATCAAGACACTGCATGAAAAATATCTCCAAAAATGCATAAAATTCTTCATTGGTACGACTAACGTTTGCCAAATTCACTTGAAAGGATTGTTTTCTTTTCTTTTTAGTACATTTGAACAATACGTTTTCATTAACTTGAAATATCTGGCCAATCCTAATTTAGTATATCTATAATATATTCCTGAATGTAAAATCAACAATTGATAAACGACAGTGGGATATAAAATACATCCCCATTAGTTAGATATTTTTTCATCACATAAACTCTGTGTTAAACAATAGTGATAAAACTTTAATCAATGATACAAATAATATCATCCACATGCTTTGGGTATTGTCATTTACCAGTGATAAAGTTTAATATTTTTAATAACAAGTCTGTGAACCTTTGTACATGAATTCAAATGGATATGTATATATCATTATGCATATAAAGTCACCCATTAATGCAACGTTAACGTTATATTATCAGTAGACTTTACAACATTAATTGTAACGAAAGCCTAGTTTAATTCGATTTTCATTTACATATTTTATAATAGCTCTGAAAGTAAATTTTTCAATCAAATTATTTTGTTGTACATTTACTTGGTGGTAGTTCAGATATAAGGATAGAGAGTGTATAAGGATAGATAGTGTCTAGGAAGAATTTTATTACGAAGGTATTAGCTCTTTGTGTACCTTTATAATTCATTGTATCTGCGACACCAAGTATAGAATAAATTAAGCGGTACATGATATTCCAATGAAACAATGAACAATGAAATCTTCTTCCTGAAAAAGAATAATAAACATCTCCATTTTACCTCTTACAGAAAACTTTACTATACTATTATGCTTTACATGCATTAGGATATCTTAATTTCAAATTTTTCATCTGAAAATTTTTATATGTATCTTTAAAAAAATCAATTAGCTTTCCAAAAGGTTTTTGTTTTGCACCCGTCTGAATAGTCACTGTAAAGTGTTTATTTGTCTGTTATTCACTTATGTTAATGATATTCCCATCTTCTTTATAAAAATAAAAATGCCATTACGTACATGTATATTTGATCACAGCTTCAAGTTGCTTTAAGCCTGCTTTTCCGAAATAATTAAAAGTCACCAAAATGTGGCACATCTCGATAATTGATGTGTTCTAACTTGACATCAGCTTATTGTATCTATCATTGTACATCCCTGTTGCATACGAACAAAATTTAGTACCGGGTAGTAATTAACCTCTTCTTACAAGAAACCAGTGCTAAAATTTTGTATTACACAATTAAAAAGAAATAAAGTTTGAGAATTTTGAAATTTTTGAATTTCAGTAGCCAATATTTCTAACTCTCTTCCTATCGCAAAAACAATAGAATGTCATGTAACAACTGCATACTTTGGCAATGTATAGGTAAACTAGAAATATATTTTCCTTTCCATAAATGACACAATTTTGATTCTGCATACAAACTAGTATATTTGGCAATGAAAATAAATGTGGCAGTACTATAAGCAAGCATGTGTAATTGTATTTTTTAAGAAAAATATTATTCACAGTTTAGTAAAAAGTTTATATTTCCCCATATTCGCCAGTCAAAGGTTTATGAAGAGCGGTAGGACTGAAAACCCGTGGCTAGCGTAGATGAAATTTCCTTTTAAGAAACTACACTCTACCATGGTTGACAACGTTGCGATACGTCTTTACAAAAAAATATCCTCTCTGTTATTTTTTCATATAATCCGTTTACATATTAAAAAGTTGTGCCTTTGAAAAGTTTAATAACCTTCACTAAGATAAAGTAAACAAGCTATCAAAGAAATCAATGCCTTCCACTTGAAACAGTTTTGATAGTCCTGTTTAACACCTGCTTCTATTTTGGCACAGTAGGAGATGCATCATCTTGAAGCATACGTGACAAACGCAATGTGTCATTGGTTTAAATAATATTTCAAGGGTATAAATGCACGAGGTACTGCATGAAGAGCTAAACACTTCTGAGAAGGGTAAGGTTGAATTTCTCATTCAACAATTTTCCATTCAAAATAGGATAAAGAACTGTCCTGTTGTGAAAGTAAAAATAATGAAAACTTTAATAACGATCATGAGAGTGAAAGAATATATTTATCCTGATAAACATATAGTATGAGTCATTCACATATTAGATAAATACACGTGTATAGAAGCATTTTTAACAATTTGGAGGCATAGATTCAAGATTTCAACCAGGTACGATGACAGTTTCTCGATAAAATATAATTTTCCCTCAACATTTGTGATTGAATAGTGGGTTGTTTAACAAGTTTTCTCATAAGAAATTGAAGAACATTACCAGTTATACGTGCAAGATACCAGAGAATCATATCTCCTTTTTAATCTTATTAGATCTCGCTTAAATTGAAAGAACAGTGACCAGGAGGAAAATCATGACCTTAATTGTAACATCAATCAATATCGTATGGGATTGTTATATCAGAATGTGATATCAAAATAATGAAACAGCTTTAATTTTCAGAAGTTTTACGTTCCACGATGGTTTTGTTAGTATTATTGTTTCTTTCTGCTGAAATGATTACAGAAGGTAACTTTTTCGCATGAAATACTTACAGAAATATATACACAAATAACTTTAACATGCTTTCCATGAAAATTAACATAAAATCCAATGTGCATAATTTAAATTTCAGTACTCCTATTTACAGGTGTCTTGTCAATAGTATCTACAACTGCTACTGCTGCTGTATCAAAAAGAACTGAATGTTTGCCGGGATATCACGGTGTTAACTGTGATTATCTATGTTCTCCTAATTGTGGGGGAGATGGGACTTGTAGATGGTATAATGGTGTATGTCGGAATGGATGCAAGGCAGGATACACAGGTTTAAAATGTGACAGCACCTGCTCCCAGAATTGTGGAGGTGATGGGACCTGTAGAAGGAGTCCTTCTTTCTGTCTCCATGGGTGCAAGGCAGGGTACACAGGATTTACATGTGAAGACGCCTGTCCAGCAAAATGTGGAGGGGATGGAAGTTGTCACATTGCTACGTCTCGTTGTCTGAATGGATGCAAACTACCTGGGATGACAGGGTTTTTTTGTGAAAACACCTGTCAAACAGGATACACAGGTCAAGACTGTAACATAACTTGTCCAGTTGGCTGTGGAGGGGATGGGAGTTGTACTCGAGATACTGCGTTCTGTCTTGAAGGATGCAGGGCTGGGTATACGGGATATACATGTAGAAACACCTGCTCACCTAACTGCGGCGGTGATGGAGGTTGTGGAGTACTTGTTCCTATTTGTAAGCATGGTTGCAAAGATGGCTTCTCGGGACTATTGTGTAATAACTAACGCATCAAAATACAAATTAAGATATCGGCAATGTATCTATACCTTGCAATATAAGCATAGAACAACATTCACCATAAAAAAATCGAGAGAGAGATTTGAAAATATGCTAAAATGGTACATGGCGCTATATACATGTACATGAATTGATCAAATTAGCAAGTGATATTGGAGTGATAATTATTTCTCACGGTGTGGTTCTACTTTCTGACTTTTCACGACATATGTGTACAGTTGTATTTAGATATAGAAATCAAATCATGATCTATGGAGTCTTCTTTTTGCAAAAATAAAATATGTGTATATATTCAAATAGTAATAATTGATATGGTTGACACAACGAGTGTATTTCGAAAGTAAGAAAGCCCAGAGGGCTCATTCGAGATTCGAGTTTCGAAATACGAATTCGAGATTCAAAATTCGAGATTCAAGATTCAAACTAACCAATCAAAGGGTGGTTTAAGATTCAATTACTCCCCTTTGCTACGTTTTGACCTTCAAGAAATCGTAGAACATTTTCAAGCCGAAGAGGTCATTTGATTATATTACAATGCAAGAAAGAGTGTTATATATATCAGAACGAAATTAGAAAAAAAATTGATTTTTGGTCTTCAGAATATGCTTAAATTTATATTTTAACTTCTTAAATATTATAATAGATTTATATCAAGAATATCTATATAGTATTATCTACTTTGTTTACAGGTTTGATGTAATAATAATAAATATTGTTAATCGGATTCAAAGAGCAAAGGGAGGGGGGCGTTTTGTAGTCGGTGAGAACTTTTTTATTAGCTTTCACAAGTGTACAAAGCAAGATTGTTATATATATAAATATATAAACACTTATATATAATTATACACAATGAATTTCTTAATACTTTTGTTATTACAGCAGTACAAAATTTACTTGTAACCGTGAAAGTTATTTTTTTAATGAAAAAAAGAAAAAAAATAGAAGGGGGGGGGGGGTCAGCAGTGGTAGAAAAATGCAAATATAGATATTGACAATCAAATAACAACTAAATATTCCATTACAGTTCATCTTAAAAATAGACAGGATTGTTCAAAGTGCATCACAGATTTTTTGCTTATGCCTTTCATATTCCATATATCTACAGCTTTGTAACAGCAAAACCTTTTCTATAAAAATTCTGTCTATGATCCTCTTCATTAGAATATCAATATTTAATTTTGGAACCCTTTTATATTTACTAGCAAAAATGAATTGTTTTACGATAAGTATTATCAAGTTTTGTAATTTGCATATATTCTTGTTTTCATATTTACCAAAAAGTATAGCTAGTTTGTCAAAACTACAATGAATATCTAATTTTTCCAAAATCCATTCTTCAATGCTACACCATAATTCTTTTACTTTGAAACATTCAACAAATAAGTGATCAATTGTTTCTATGTCACTTGAACAAAAAGTACATGCTGGTGAATCAATCAACAGTTGTTATGCCTTTAAAGTCTTTATTATTTCGAATTAAAATTCCAAGTATTTCTGCACATAGCAAAAAGAGATATGGCGAAATTGGGTCGCCTTGTCTACAGCCTCTTTGAGGAAATATATAGTCTGAAACAACACCATTTTGTATTACGCATGATTTAATACCATTGTGGAAGGTTTCAATCCATTTTTAATAGAGGGTCCAAAGTTGAAAAAGTCCAATGTTTGATATATAAATTTCCATGAGATTGTATCAAAAGCCTTTTCAAAGTCTATAAGCATTAGTAAACGAGGTATTTGATTATGTTCTGTATAATGCATCAAATCAGTCTAATATTCTCCCCTATAAATCTGCCTTTTATAAATCCAGTTTGGTCTCTGTTAATTAGTTTATCTAATTTTGTTTTCATTCTTTCAGCAATACAACCAGAAGCTATTTTATAAACTACATTTAAAAGACTAATAGGCCGCCAATTTTTTAAAAATTGTTTTGGTTTTCCTGATTTTGGAATACAGGTTATGATTCCCAGTTTTTTTGACTGTGTAAATTTTATAAATCATTTGAATTGTTTATTGCTCTTGTAATAAAAGTGCCCATATCCTTCCAGAAAAACTCGCAAGTAAATCCATCAGGGCCTGGACTTTTATCATTTTTCATTTGTTTTAGGAAATGTAGAACTTCAAAATTTGTTACCGGTCCTTCAAGGCTGTTTGATTCCTCTTTACTTAACTTAGGAATATCTTTATATTTTTTCAATCTTTCATGAATATTTTCTGATTCTACATTTTCCCTTTTTTATACAAACTTTCATAAAAAGCCTTTGTCTCCTCTAAAATGTCTTTTTGAGTAGAGGCAATCATCATCTCTTTCTATTTTTGGTATTTGCTTACTAACATAGTTTCCTGATTCCAAACTAATAAAATATTTTGATGGTTTTTCTCATTCCTCAATCCACTTAACCTTTGACCTGATACATTGCCCTGTGAACCTTATTTTTCTTATTTCTTCTATTTCTGTTTGTTTTTCTTCAAGTTCATTCATTGACTGTTCTGTTAAATTTTGTTCTAATTCAAATATTCCTTTTTCTAATTGTTTTTCTCTTTCAATTGTTTTCTTCTTTTTATAAGTGGAATAGAATTATTAGTGTAATTAAACAAGTGACTAGCGATTAATAATAAATACATGTAGTAATACGGGTTTCAAAGTGGATAGAGTTTGTGACAAGGTATTGGAAAGTGCCCAGTGACCAATACGGGTTTAAAAGTGGTTATAATTTGTGACAAGGTATTTGAAAGTGACCAGTGACCAATACGGGTTTCAAAGTGGATATAGTTTGTGACAAGGTATTAGAAAGTGACCAGTGATCAATACGGGTTTCAAAGTGGATATAGTTTGTGACAAGGTATTAGAAAGTGACAAGTGACCAAGTTTTTGAAACCAAGAGACAGCCCCTTAAGTACAGATGGCTGAAATATACATTCTTAATATAAAGATATAATGATTTCTCTCTGTTCAGGCCCGTAGGAAATAATAAATAAACACAGCAAAGCCCCTCCCCCCCCCCAAAAAAAAAAAACAACAGGGGGTTATCACGGTTATAAGACGTTATTTTTGAAAGAACACTAGCATAAAGTTGCTATGTTTTCTATAGTATATAATATCGGAAAAAAATATAAGGGGAATGTGGGGGGGGGGGGGGACATGTGCTCAGGGTCCTATGGCTATGTTGTTTATTTTATTACAACGGTAGACAAATGTTTGGTTATCAACATTCAGTGTCAATCTTGCGATGCATGGGTAAAATAATTAAATATTCGATAGTTATTTATAAGGAAACCACTCGGGTCTCTCAAGATACATAACCAATCAATACACAAGTTTCAATATATGATGTAATGGCCATAGAGAAAAAGATATAAAAGTATTTGATAATGATAAAAAAATTAAAAAATTAATTATTTTAACAAAACAATGGACCCTCTATACACCTTTAGGACTTTGAAAAAATCGCATAGCCTTAAGGAATACGTATTAAAATCACTTAGTTCATGTATGCCTTTTTAGTGTACTCAGGAAATCTTGAAAGACATCGTAGTAGTGATAAAGCAAAATCGCGTTTGCTTTCCCAATGCTGTATATTCCATATAGGCAAAAAGGCTGTAGCCTACACTTCATTTTCTTAATGTAAAAAAAAAAATATTTATTTAGACATGTATTTGGTTGAAAAATGGGAGAAAGTTGATCATAAATCTTATTTATTTGCCAGTTACTAGAATATTTTTTTTTATCAAATGCAATAAAAGTATTTTTAGCAATCCACACTTTTATGCTTATCCAATTTTTACAGTTTACAAAACTTTCGATTTTTATAGCTGATTAAATCTAAAATTGAAATGTTACCTTGAAGTCGATATCAGACTATTAAAAAAAACAGCAACAGGAGTCTACGATTAGGACAGGGAATAGAAATTAGGAAATATGTTTGGGTTAGTAGGAAGTCAAACATAAAACATTTTAAAAATTATTTTAGATTATTCAGTTCCAAGCACTGTGTAAGGATTTTAAAATTTCTCAATTTGAGTGATCATGAAGGTTTTAATTTCTGTATCATAAGATGACTTAAATGATTTAAAATTATATTCACTGAAAAAATGACAATGATAGACGTTTCCACGATCGCAGAAAGTGGTCCTCCGACCCCACCCCCTCTATTGAGAGGGGGCGACTCCCTCCTTGTCTATCCGCAATTCGACAATGATGCGATTTAGGTGAAAACTGTGACTTCACATTAGCCTACACATTAGCAGAAGGGAATATACACCACTGTTTTCCAATAGGAGAAATACATAAAAATTAAGTTTCCAATTACTTATCTTGGTCTAAGGCTTTGAATACTTGAATTAATTAAAAATTATATATACAATACAGACTGGAATTTATTTTATTCCATATGAAATAGTAGATAAGTCTAACTGCACAGATGCACCCTTAAATGTAATGAAATGTATCCTTAATTAAATTACTGTACAGTGTAAAAACGATCCTTAATATTTCATATCAATAATACATGTAATTTTCTCCCTCATCAATGTGCTTATTAAATAATTTATCGACAAACTAATTTCGCAATTTAACGATAAGACCATATAATATTTTATATTTGTATCTATTGTTTTGTTTAATGAGGAAAATAAGATTTTATATATATAAATATAATTTTTCAGAACGTTACCCAAAACTCATTTTTATTTTGTTTTGATACATATAACATTTTTTCTTGCATTATTTTTTAAGCAAACGACCCATTTTTTATAAATATATTCAGTGATTTCTTGATAGTAAAATCTTAATAAAGGGGAGTAATCAAATATTGAATCCGCCTTTTGATTGGTTAGTTTGGATCTTGAATCTTGAAACTCGAATTTCGAATCTCGTATTTCGAAACTCGAATCTTGAATGAGCCTTCTGGGCTTTCGTACGAAAGAGAAAAATCTTCATTTATGTATTTTTCTTCTTAATCAACGTTTCTAACCAATCTGATGTTTC